AAAGAGCAGTCTTTACCATCCTTTGTTGTAATAGGATGGGAGCCAGCTTGTACAGTACACATGTAGAGAGTAACATGCCTAGTAACCAGTCCAGTGCAAGTGTTACCAGTCTGGGTACAGTCTAGTAGCATGGATACATGAACATTTGGGGATCCTCAGGGGTCAGTATGTATGTGTGTGTCTGTTTGAATGTGTGTGTCAGTATGTGTGTGTCTGTATTTATGTGTGTGTGGGTGTCAGTATGTATGTGAGTGAATGTCTGTATGTATATGTGTGTATGTATGTCAGTATGTATGTGTGTGTCAGTATGTATGTATGTATGTTATTTTTAAAATTATTTTTATTAAATTATCATTGATATAGTGCCAACAAATTCTGTAGCACTTTTATCAGTATGCTTGTATGTGTGTGTCTGTATGTATGTCAGTATGTATGTGTGTGTGTGTGTGTCAGTATGAATGTATGTATGTTATTTAAAAAAATTATTTTGATTAAATTGTCATTGATATAGCACCAACAAATTCCGTAGCGCTTTTATCAGTATGCTTGTATGTGTAAGTGTGTCTGTATGTATGTGTCTGCATGTCCTCATGCATGTGTGTGTGTCTGTATGTATGTTAGTTGGTGTCTGTGTGTCAGTATGTATGTCTGTGTTCCTGAATGTCTGTTTCTGTATGTATGCCTGTATGTGTGTGTATGTCTGGTTCAGTATATGTCTCTGTTAGTATGTATTTGTGTTTGTCAGTATTTCTCTGTGTGTCTGTATGTGTGTATCTTTGTGTGTGTGTATCTGTGTTTGTATCAGTGTGTGTATCTGTGTTTGTGTCTGTGTGCATATTCTGTGTCAATGTCTGAGTGTCTGTGTATCTGTGTGTGTGTCTGTGTGGGTCTATGTGTGTGTGCGTATCTGTGTCTCAGTGTATATGTCTGTGTATCAGTGTGTGTGGAAGTGTATACACTATTCACAAATGCACACCTGCATTCAAACACCAACATTCACACACATGCTCCATACAAAAACATACACCCACTGCAGCCAATACACAAACACACACTCTATCCACAAAACACAAACCCTGTATCCACTCTACAAACACTACTTCCTTGTGGGCAGATTGGGTCCTGTGGGTGGGATTTGGAGGTGGTGCCCCGGTGGGCCCAGACCTTGAGTTGTGTTATGGGCCCCAAAATGTCTGATGGCGGCCCTGCTGACAGGTGAAGTGATTAACATTGATTATCTAGTTACAATGACACCTGTCAACATATGGTATATATTAGGCAGCAAGTAATCAGTCAGTTCTTGATCTTTCTTGTGTTGGAAGCAGGAAAGATGAGCAAGCGAAAATATTTGAGTGACTTTGACAAGGGACAAATAGTGATGGTTAGACAATGGGGTCAGAGCATCTCCAAATTAGCAAGTCCTGTGGTGTGCACAGTGGTGCAGTGGTTTGTACCTACCAAAAGTGGTGCAAGGAAGGACAACCAGTGAAACGGGGTCAGGGTCAAGGGCGTCCATGGCGCATTGATGTATGTGGGGAACAAAGGCTTGCTTCTCTGATCTAATCATACAGAAGAGCTACTGTAGCTCAAGCTGCTGAAAAACCTTTAATGCTGGCCATGACAGAAACATAGAATGTGACGGCAGATAAGAACCATTCGGCCCATCTAGTCTGCCCAATTTTCTAAATACTTAAATTAGTCCCTGGCCTTATCTTATAGTTAGGATAGCCTTATGCCTATCCCACGCATGCTTAAACTCCTTTACTGTGTTAACCTCTACCACTTCAGCTGGAAGGCTATTCCATGCATCCACTACCCTCTCAGTAAAGTAATACTTCCTGATATTATTTTTAAACCTTTGTCCCTCTAATCTGATTATGTCCTCTTCTTTTAAATATAGTCTCCTCCTTTACTGTGTTGATACCATTTATGTATTTAAATGTTTACTTTCCTGGTAAGTTTTATCCTGCAATCCATGAACCAGTTTAGTAGCGTTTAGTTTACTGCATACAATACTCCAAGTGAGGTCTCACCTGTGTTTTATACAATGGCATGAGCACTTCCCTCTTTCTACTGCTAATACCTCTTACCTATACAACCAAGCATTCTGCTAGCATTTCCTGCTGCTCTGTTACATTGTCTGCCTACCTTTAAGTCATCAGAAATAATCACCCCTAAATCCCTTTCCTCAGATGTTGAGGTTAGGACTCTATCAAATATTCTGTACTCTGCCCTTGGGTTTTTACGTCCAAGATGCATTATCTTGCACTTATCCACATTAAATGTCAGTTGCCACAACTCTGACCATTTTTCTAGTTTACCTTAATCATTTGCCATTTGGCTTATCCCTCCTGGAACATCAACCCTGTTACATATCTTAGTATCATCAGCAAAGAAAGGTGGAGGACCCCTATCCACCACGAAAGCACCCTCAATGGAGACAAGAGTGTCGGAACTGGGCCATGGAGCAGTTGCAAAAAATTGCCAGATCGGATTAATCACGTTTTTAATTTTAAGTGGATGGCTGGGTGCATGTGTGTTGTTTACCTGGGGAAGAGATGGCAGCAGGATGTACTATGGAAAAAAGGCAGGCCTCCGTGTCCCTGGCCCACCCCCTTCACATCACTCTTGTCCCAGTGCTTAGGATGCCAGAGTTGGGAAGTATGCTATAGGCATCAAAACAACTTTAGCTTAATGAAGCAGGTTTGGTGTATCAATCATGCCCCTTCAGTTTCATTGCTCATTTCTATGCTATTTAGGCGTTAAATCACATTTGTTTCTGTTTATTCAGCCATACCCACAATTAAGATCTCTCCTTACAGGAAGTGTTTAGAAAGTCTGTGTGAATGACATGCAGGATGTGACGATACCTTACCTGTTCCACCCGGACCCGAGCGGCACGGCTTCCTCTCCTCACACTTCCGGGTGGCGGCACAGTTCTTCTGACGCTGGCCGCTTGGAAAACGCCCCTTTCTATAATGCAGGGCATGCGCGCCGAGGTCAGATCAGTTCTGCCGTACAAAGTCATGTGATACCACACTCCCTGACCTTTTGGGGGCGTGGATTTAAAGTGAAAGACACTACACTATAAAAGGGCGCCTTTTACAGTTAATCAGCGCCCTATTGTGGTTCATGGTAGTTCCCCTTAGTGCTCTTGAGATTCTGTGTTGTATTCTGGTATATTGACTTTTGGCTTTTCCTCTGACTATTCTACACTCTGGTATCCTGAATTCGGCTTGTAATTCCGTTTATCTGTCTTCTGTACTCCCTGACTTTTGGCTATTCTCAGACTACTCTTTGACGTTTAAACCCGGCCATTCTAAGGTCCGGTAACACGTCTCTTTCTGTATTACTTTCTGCGTGTTGGGGTCACTGTCGTGACATGGGAGAGGTGTGGCTAGAGCTGTATAAACAAAGTGCTTTAACACCTAAATGGCAATGAATTGAGCATTAAGACCGCATGATCTATACACTAAAACTGTTTCATTAAACTAAAGTATTTTGGCGTCTACAGAATCACTTAAAGGGTACCTTTTTTCAGCATAGGACCAGGATAGATGTAACAAAAAAAAAAATCTAAAGCATGTTCATGCCCAGATGTAGTAGTTTAAGATAGTATAATATTATTTTTGCATGATATATTACATGACGTGTAAGGGTAGCATTTTCAGTTTGAGAACACTTTTATTGTGTCCTGATATAATAATGTATCCTGAATTAAATATGAGAATTTTGAGTTAACATTTAATCAGGGACAAGTATCCTATTTTATAATGTCCATAACACTTAATACAAAAGTATTTCTGCATTAAACTGTATATCTAAACATCCCACTAAGTCTCAGTGGCGGATCCAGGGGGGGGGCAACGGGGCAATTGTCCCCCCCGAGAAATCCGCCGGTCTCCCTCTCCCTCCCCTGCCAGCCCTGCAATGTGCCTGCGGACCGGAGGGGAGATCAGAGCTCTCCCTCCCTGGTCCGCAGGCACCGGCAGGGGAGGGAGAGGGAGGAGAGAGGACCCGGGAGCTCAGGCTGCAGCTCCTCCGGGTCCTCCTCTCGCAAGATTTGCAGCGTTGCCGTGGTTACCACGGCAATGCTCCAAATCTCGCGAGAGAACTCTAGCCGGGCTAGAGTTCACTGTCCCCACTGGGACTCGCAGGGAATCACCACTGGGACCACCAGGGATCGAAATATGTCCCCCCTCCTCCCAGTAAAGGTAAGAAGGGAGGGGGGACATAGAATATATATTTATTTTAATTAAATAAATAAAAATATATATTATTAAAAAAAGCCCCCCTACCCTTATCACACACTCTATACACATACACCCCCATACACACACATTGCCCCCCATACACACACACTGCCCCCCATACACACACTGCCCCCCATACACACACATACTCTGCCCCCCCATCCACACACATTGCCCCCCATACTGCCCCCCATACACACATACTGCCCCCCATCCACACACATTGCCCCCCATACTGCCCCCATACACACATACTGCCCCCATCCACACACATTGCCCCCATACTGCCCCCATACTGCCCCCCCCATCCACACACACATTGCCCCCCATACTGCCCCCATCCACACACATTGCCCCCCATACACACATACTGCCACCCATACACACACATTGCCCCCCATATCGCCCCCCAACACACACACATTGCCCCCCCTACACACACACTGCACCCCATACTGCCTCCATGCACACACACATTGCCCCCATACACACACACAAACATTGCCCCCATACACACATACTGCCCCCATACACACATACTGCCCCCCATACACACATACTGCCCCCATACACACATACTGCCCCCCATCCACACACACACATTGCCCCCATACACACATGCCCCATACACACATATACACTTACACACACACATTGCCCCCATACTGCCCCCATACACACACATTGCCCCATACATACACAAACATTGCCCCCATACACACATACTGCCCCCCATACACACACACTGCCCCCCATACACACACACTGCCCACACTCACACATACACTGCAATACTCACACACACACTGTATCCCTGACATACACTGCCGCCCTCACTCACATACTACAACCTTCACACACACACACACACTGCTCACACACTGTCCCCCTCTCACACACACACACACACACACTGCACCCCTTACACATTGCACCACTCACACACACCACTGCTCATATGCCCTACTACAGCCCCATTTCCCAGCAGACCTCAGGTAAGTTGTCAAACTGTTCTTAAACGGTTTGACTACTTACTCTGGGAGGGGGTCCCGGCACTGTTGACACCATCACCACTACACTGAGCTGTAGTGGTTATTGTGTCTGGATTATTTCTTTAAATAATCTACAAGTGCCCCTCCCGAGATCAGGCTCTGGATCCGCCACTGCTAAGTCTTGGTCAAATTCCTCTAGAACAAGTTTCAGGATTCATATATTGTATGTCATTATAGACAATAGAACTCTTTCCATATCAGCATTGTGACAAATACTCAATGCCATAATGACAGAACACATTTTGCTGAGGTTATATTGGAATGTTCCATCAGTTTGATTCAGATATTTGAGCCAAGCTGATGAAACCTTCCAGTATAACCTCAGCAAAGGGAATTCAGTTTTGAATAATCTAAAGGCCTATGACTGGTTTTCTGCTGTTGTGAACATGAATGGTTCTCACCAGGACTTAAAGGATTCAAGGTTAGTCCCCATGCAGTGTCTCTGTAGTCAGCATCGTCTGTGTGTACATTTAAATTGTCTTACATGTAGCTATCCTGTAGATATCATAACATTTGCTGTGTATACTTTGGATATATTTACCCTTAAATTTGAAGTTCACTTTGAATTCACCACATATTCTCACTTTAGTTAAAAGTATTTAAAGCCCACTAAAGTTTTGATGTCAATATATTAAATGCACATCACTTCCCACGCTGGCACACCAAACACAGTGGCTCTCATTCTGTGTATTCATTGTCTACTTTCAATCCTCTTCTCTGGTGATCAGCTGGATATCTTACATTGACTGTGACTGTGTGGCAGGTGAACCAAAGTATATACATAAGTGATGTCGTCCTTACAAGAAACACTGTAAGTTTTACATTGCCAATTCGTCAGACAATTCGTCGGCTGGCTCTCCCCATTGCCAATATTTTACATTGCCAATTCGTCAGACAAAAAGGAAATGGCCTGTGCACCAGATCCACTGCATTAAGATTATGTTGTATTGTTGCCTTTAAATTATATGGTTATATTTCCCCTGCAAAGGTTAAGGATCATTTTGTGTAATGAGCATTAATAAATGGATTAGGGCATGATCAGTGTTAGTCATTATAGTGTTGTTGACAGCTGTGATCTAGTAGAAATGGAGTGCCATTTACATTTGTTCGATTGATGATTATGGATCCAAATCCTTGGAATTTCTACTGAAGAGACTCATATAGTAGTGCATTCTCTGCAGCTTAACCCCTTAGCGACCGAGGACGGTTCAGGACCGTCATCGGCATTTTTGCCTTGAGGACCGATGACGGTCCTGAACCGTCCTAACGGTCAGAGCTACTTACCTGATCGCCGTCGTTCCCCCGGCGGCGATCAGCGTGGCTCTGGTTGTGGGGAGACTGCCTGCAGCCCAGACAGTCTCCCCACGGCAGATTAGGACCCCTGTGGCCATGTGATCGCTTAACACAGCGATCACATGGTCACAATAGGTGTCCATGTGTCTGCCTGCAGGGGGACTGCCTGTGCTGACAGGCAGTCTCCCTGCTAGTGTAAAATCAAAAAAAAAAATAAAGTTAATGTTAATAAAAAAAATTAAAATAATTATATATGTGTATATATGATATATAGACATATATTATATCTATATAATATATGTCTATATATCATATATATAATGCCATACTGAGTGTATTTTTATATTAATATGTACTTATATTAATATAAAAATACACTTATAATTAAATTACACACGTATATATATAATATATATAATAACTATATATATTGTATATATATTATTATTATAAAATATAAATAATAAGTAATTTAAATTAAATAAAAAAAATTTAAAATAATAATAAAAAAATTTAAAAAAATTATATATCTATATGAAATTTTATTCTAACTGTATTTTAAAATTAATATATATATTTATATCAAAATACACTTAAAATGAATTTGTATATATATCTATGTATATATAAATAAATAAAAATAATACGAAATATACATATGTCCATATACAAAATTACATAAATAATTATATAAATATACACGTAGACTTCAAATATATAAATATGCATATATATTTAAATTCTACGTGCGTATTTATGTAATAGTTTTACATAATTCAGTAATTTTATTGATTGCAATTTAAGGGACCTGCCTGCCAACCCAGGCCGAAATTCCAGAGAATTGAATTTGCTAGCACTGTATTTTACCCTGTAACGTTCTACGACACCCTAAAACCTGTACATGGGGGGTACTGTTTTACTCGGGAGACTTCGCTGAACACAAATATTAGTGATTCAAAACAGTAAAACATATCACAGCGATGATATTGTCAGTGAAAGTGACTTTTTTTGCATTTTTCACACACAAACAGCACTTTTACTGATGATATAATTGTTGTGATACGTTTTCCAGTTTTTAAACACTAATATTTGTGTTCAGCGATGTCTCCCGAGTAAAACAGTACCCCCCATGTACAGGTTTTATAGCATTTTTGAAAGTTACAAGGTCAAATATATGGGTCAAATATTTTTACATTGAAAATGGCCAGGTTGGTTACGTTGCCTTTGAGAGCGTATGGTAGCCCAGGAATGAGAATTACCCCCATGATGGCATACCATTTGCAAAAGAAGACAACCCAAGGTATTGCAAATGGGGTATGTCCAGTCTTTTTTAGTAACCACTTGGTCACAAACACTGGCCAAAATTAGCGTTCAATTTAGTTTTTTTACTTTTTTCACACACAAACAAATATGAATGCTTACTTTGGCCAGTGTTTTCGACTAAGTGGCTACTAAAAAAGACTGGACATACCCCATATTGAATACCCTGGGTTGTCTACTTTAAAAAAAATATGTACATGTGGGGTGTTATTCAGAGATTTATGACAGATAATAGTGTTACAATGTCACTATTGATAAATTTAAAAAATTTATGTTTTGAAACCACAATATTCTACTTGTACCTATAGCCCTATAACATGCAAAAAAAAGCAAAAAAGCATGTAAACACGGGTATTTTTAAACTCAGGACAAAATTTTGAATCTATTTAGCAGTTTTTTTAATTCGCTTTTGTAGATGAGTAAAAGATTTTTCAAGTAAAAGTCAAAAAACATGTATTTTTTTCAATTTTTCATCATATTTTTTTATTTTTTTTAAATTAAAATACATGAGATTATATAAATAATGGTATGTAAAGAAAGCCCCTTTTGTCCTGAAAAAAACAATATATAATTTGTATGGGAACAGTAAATGAGAGAGCGGAAAATTCCAGCCAAACACAAACACCACAAAAGTGTAAAAATATGCCTGGTCGCAAATGTACAACATCGCAAAAACAGTCAAGTCCTTAAGGGGTTAAACCTTGCCAGATGGCTTAGAATCCAGAATATAAATTATATCAATCTGAAACATAGAACTCTAATTATAGGAAGCTGACAATACAATTGTGGATTCTGCTGTTCACAAGCATAATATATCGGTGTTCAAATTTCCCACTTGCTTACTACCCATTGGCAAAAGAACATTCAGCCCTAGCAAGTAGAAATTTACCTTTGGTTAGAGTGCCGTGGACTCTCCACGCTTGCAGTGGTGGGTAACTATAAGTGACTATAAGCTGTGATATATATATATATATATATATAAAAAATACACTTTCCCCCGCACTTACACTCAGTAGTGTTCAATAATGCCGGATGCCTGGACTCCAGAGATACAATGTGCCAATGTATTGTCCTGTTACCCTGAGGAAAGTCCTGAGTAGGGACTGAAACGTTGGTCTCTGATTTTAACCTGAATTAAATAAAGTATTGGAATTTTAAAGACCGGTGAGCAGCTATCCTTTGGCACATTATATATATATATATACAAAAAAAAATAAAAAATAATATATACATATATATAAGAATCACAGATTATGTCAACGATGTTTGTAAAGCACAAGCTTTTATAAAATGTATTTTCTCCTAAAAGATACACTACAGTGTTAGGAATAGAAAGCTGTATACCTAACACTACTGTGTCCCACTGCCTCCGTGCCCCATGGCAAAGTAAGAGTTAAAACCTCTTTAAACACTTACCCAATACCAGCGCTGCCTTCTCCGATGTCATCATGAGGGTTTTGCAAGACACTGTAAGCCCTCATGCAAAGTGTGAGAGCATCCAGTGTTATTTCATGGAGAGCATCCAGCGTGGTTTCATGGAACCGTCTCAGTCTTAACCCAACAATGAAAACTTAATTTCTCTGAAACTGTTTTCTGCTGCAGGGTTAGGGGAAAGGGACAGTGCACCAAGAACACTTCAGTGACATGAAGTGGTCTTGGTGCCTATAGTGTCCCTTTAAGGAGACTGGGGTGTTACAGGATAAATGGGCATATTCTGAGATTATAACTAGCAAGATTACCTCACAAGTGAGAAAATAATCTGTTTGTTCCTGATTGGGATTCATGGTAAAAGTATATGTGGTTATTGTAAGTGAACCTTCTGTCTGAATGCAAGCTGTACATATACTTACGTTAGTGAACATTATACTCCTTTTGCGTGAGCACAGTTAAAGGCGCACTAAAGTGCCAGAAAAACAAACTCGTTTTCCTGGCACTATAGGGTTATTAGGTCCCCCCCTCCTTTAGGGCCCCCTCCCCTGGGCTGAAGGGGTTAAAACCACTTACCTTAATCCAGCGCCAGGCTCCCTCGGCGCTGGTGACCTCTCCTCCCCCCTGCCATCGTCAGCCCATAGGAAAGCTTTACTTAAAGCATTACTTAAAGGGACACTATAGTCACCTGAACAACTTTAGCTTAATGAAGCAGTTTTGGTGTATAGAACATGCCCCTGCAGCCTCACTGCTCAATCCTCTGCCATTTAGGAGTTAAATCCCTTTGTTTATGAACCCTAGTCACACCTCCCTGCATGTGACCTGCACAGCCTTCCATAAACACTTCCTGTAAAGAGAGCCCTATTTAGGCTTTCTTTATTGCAAGTTCTGTTTCATTAAGATTTTCTTATCCACTGCTATGTTAATAGCTTGCTAGACCCTGCAAGAGCCTCCTGTATGTGATTAAAGTTCAATTTAGAGATTGAGATACAATTATTTAAGGTAAATTACATCTGTTTGAAAGTGAAACCAGTTTTCTTTTCATGCAGACTCTGTCAATCATAGCCAGGGGAGGTGTGACTAGGGCTGCATAAACATAAACAAAGTGATTTAACTCCTAAATGACAGTGAATTGAGCAGTGAAATTGCAGGGGAATGATCTATACACGAAAACTGCTTTATTTAGCTAAAGTAATTTAGGTGACTATAGTGTTCCTTTAATGCTTTCCTATGGACGTCCAGCGCATCCTTAATGCGATTTTCGCATTGAGGATTGCGGACGCGGCCTCTAGTGGCTGTCAGGGAGACAGCCACTAGAGGCTGCATTAACCCTAAATGTAAACATAGCAGTTTCTCTGAAACTACTATGTTTACAGCTGCAGGGTTAAAACTAGGGGGACCTGGCACCCAGACCACTTCATTGAGCTGAAATGGTCTGGGTGCCTATAGTAGTCCTTTAAGGTAGAGAAATACCTGATAAATTGGGTAGCGTCTGCAGATATATTAACAGAAATTAAAAAAATTAAAATAAGATACTATATTAGGAATTGTTTTTAACATATATCCATAGGTGGTGCTACCCCACAAAGCAGATGTTTAGATCCCCATAATATGTCATGTTCTCTGCCATCATTGAGTAGGTTAATTTCCTCCATTTTCTGACTTACAAATATTTACTTAATTTATTTAAATATATTTATATGTATGTTTTATGGTAATATGTTCATTTTAATAAATGTACAATTCCTTGGTTGTTTTCAGGGTAATTAGCATGGGGGTTTTCTCAAGGGTGTTTCACTTAGGGCCTCCAAAAACCTGGCTCTACCCACACAGTTAGCGTAATAAAACACAGATATAATGTTGATCCACTGAGAACTTGACTGACATTTTGGAACCAGGAAGGAATGTTTCCTTTTCAGTGTTTCTTTAGGATTTTTTAAAAAAATGGGTACTTTGAAATGTTGATCTTGACGAATTTGTATATTTTTTCAATATTTTTTGTTTTTACTGTTTTACAGCTAAAGTTTTCTGGCTTAAGCCCAAAGTTTCAGTCTGCTACCTGATTTTAGATTATACATAGCTTTTTTCCTCATCTTGATAGTTTTACTTTTGCCTGTATTAATTTCTAGGAAAGATCTTAGAATTAACCATAGCCTGCCATATTAAAAAGCGGCAATATCAAGTATGCTTCAGTAAATCACTCCCTTGTCTCTATGTACCTAGTACACTCATCTCATTAAATATGGCATATCTGTTAATGCTCAGTGAGAAGTGAATTTGACATATGTCTGCCTGGGTGGCATAGAGCTAAACTTACACCATGTTTTATAATCTATTATATCTATTATCTGCATGAACAGCATGCTCTCTGCACACTCTCTGAGCAATACCACGTATCCCCCATAACTCACGCCACCTGAGTAGAATGCTCTTTCCCAATAGTGGCTGGTGACATTTAAATATGGTGAGGCACTATTCTCTCTCCCCAGGATTTTGATTGTTTCTTGACTTGTTGGGCTCTGCCCGCTTTACCCCATGTAGTCAATCCCTGATCTAATGAGACATCATGCTCTATTCAATATCATATCTAGAGATACATGTGTTTAAGAAGCAACATTCAGAGAGGTTCTGTTCCGAGTGCCCATCCCCCTGCGACCGCGTGGTCGGACACAGGGGTGCGCGGCTCTAGCCCAAGTCCGCCGCACGTGTCACTCCAGCCTTAAAGGCACGGTGCCCATTTCTTCTGTTGGGCTGCTCTGCTTACTGCTCAGCCCCCACTGCATTCTACTTTATTCCTAGTGCATGTTTCTGTGTTGCTGCAGGCTGCAGTTATTCTCAGTGCATGTTTTCTGTAGCCATGCATGATTTCTGTGGACATTACTGCTTGCTCAGTGCATTATTCCTAGGCTATAAAGTTTTTCTCTATGCATTACACCTGCATGTAATGATAGTCCGTGACAGCCCCAGAAGACAGGACAATACGCAGGTCTGTATTTTCGGGAGTCCAGAATCTGAATGCCAAATACAAAACCAATAGGCGATGTCAGAAATCTTGTTATAGCAGACTAAACAATTCTGTGGGGTCTATACTGAGAAAACTGGGTATTTTTTCAAAGATGACTTAGCATCTTCACATAAGTGGATGTTTGACTTTTTAGCAGGATCTCCAGCCATCAATAAAGAGGGGGAGGAAACTGAATTATTAATAATGACAGGCACAACATGTTCTTTCAATGTAAACCAAATATAAGTTCACACATCCAGGGCTGTAGGTTTTGTAAGGGTACTCCAGGAAGAGGGGCGAATCTCCAGGGATCAAATAGCAAAGAAAGCTCAAACACACCAAGTAATATTCCACAAAGACTGTCTTTCTTGGTTAAGGTACAGCAACGTTTCAGCTTGTGTAAAGAGCCTTCATCTACATGTTCTTTCTAACACATATTTAGAATTATCTGTTGCCCACCCCAATAGATGAAAAAATTGGGGGGTTTCCTGCCTCTATATACCAGCTTCCACTGCTCTCTCCAATAGTGCACATGTCCTATAACTTACATTAAGCAGTAGACTTTCTCCAATAACCAACAACCATAAATTTACACTGCCTGAGCAGTATGCGCTGTCCATTACCTCACACATTCAATAGTCCACACTCCACATTGCCTGAGGAACATGCTCTCTGGTTATAGGTGGGCTATAGCTCCAATACTTTTATGAAATACAGCAATAGCTGGTGAATGTCCTTGATAACTCCAATATTAGTCCAATAATAGCTGGAGGTCTGGTATTTGACGACCCATATCTTATAACATCACACTCAATGTATTTATTGGTTAGATAGTGAACTGAAAATTGAATGCTGGAGATATACTGAATATAGTTCAATTGGGGATTTATTCTCTAAATTGTTAAACGAGACAGTTTTTCAGGCAGGTGAGAACCAGCACTGGAGCAGTGTTTTTTTTTTTTAAATGTATTTTTTTTTTTTTTTTTACCCACTTAAGGTCGAAGGCAATTGTACAGGTTATGAACCAAAACAAAACCTAGAATTTGAGCTATATGTCTGTTCAACCATAATTAACCTCTTTTATACTAAGTGCATCCACGCTTGTTAAATCTAATTTTGTTCAGGAGAAATAGGGTTTTCATTTCACATCAAATAGCTTTATATAAATACACAATAAAGTCCTGTGCTCAGACTCCCACTACTCCTGGGCGGCAGTAATGAACATAGTACACATCAGCCCCAATACATACAATAAAAACCTAAAAAAATAAAATAAATAACTTGCGCACTATTCCAAATCCCTGTGCATACTTATATAAATGGAGGTTTTTAATTCCACAATGCTGTCAATAGCAAAGGGGTTAACACATTGATTGTATTATATTCTCTCTACTTATGATTTAGGAAAAAAAATATTTTAAGTTTAAATTATTGTGGAGAAAAGTAAGATGAAGTAACTTCAACGGAGAGTCATATAACACAGAATAATCAATGCTGAGCTAAAACTGTGAATCGGTATCGTGTCCAGATAAAAATTAGATGAAATCACTTAAAGTGGTGAAGGTTGCATTCAAGATTTGAGGGGCAGTCACAGGACATTTTTTCAGAGGTTGGCAGTGGTGATAATGAGAGGTATACAAGCTATATTCTTACAGCTACACCTGTTCAGTGTCATACTATATACATTAATAGATAACAAATAAGCAAAAATGAATTCTCCCTATATGCACCAATTTTATAACATGACAGGAGGCTTCATATTTGCGTAAGTCTCGCTTTACTAGAACTCCACAGCAGCACATTAACATAGAGAGAAAAACATCAAAGACAAAAACATAAGGAATCCATAAAAGGCTCCTCCCAACCAACTATTTCCTCTTTTTTTGCTGCTCCACAGTCAGTACAGGTCAGAGTACCGCTGCCTCCTGTTTTATGGGTGGCTGTGTGTTTTATTATGATATTCATTGGAGTTACTTGTAACTTGTGCATTATTCCTCACAGTTTATTTACTGTTTTACCACTTTTATTCTGTTTGCTTATGCAGTTTTTCTTAGGCAGTGTCCATTTATATGCAGTTTTGTTTCCCTTGCTTGTGCATGCTTAGGTGTTTAATCTGTGTATTTTTTATCTGCTTCTTATTGCCCTTGCTATCTGTAGACGGTCACCGTGAAGCGGTCGTCTGACCAACTCCCGTACCGATCGCCGGGACCGCGATGGCTACAGAAAACATGCACTGAGAATAACTGCATCCTGCAGCAACACAGAAACATGCACTAGAAATACTGTAGAATGCAGTGGGGGCTGAGCAGTAAGCAGAGCAGCCCAACAGAAGAAATGGGCACCGTGCCTTTAAGGCTGGAGTGACACGCGCGGCGGACTTGGGCTAGAGCCGCGCACCCCCGTGTCCGACCATGCGGCGGTCCCACGTGTTCCTCGTGTTGATTCCCGCACCCCGGCTTCATCCGCCGAGCAGGAATCCTCTCCCTGTCCTGCCCACGTCTACGCTCGTTTTTTGCTTCTACACGAGCGGCGTAGGGAAGGAGCAGGGAGCTGCACTCTTACCGCGGGAGCGTCTGCTCCAAAGCGCCCATCCCCCTGCGACCGCGTGGTCGGACACGGGGGTGCGCGGCTCTAGCCCAAGTCCGCCGCGCGTGTCACTCCAGCCTTAAAGGCACGGTGCCCATTTCTTCTGTTGGGCTGCTCTGCTTACTGCTCAGCCCCCACTGCATTCTACAGTATTTCTAGTGCATGTTTCTGTGTTGCTGCAGGCTGCAGTTATTCTCAGTGCATGTTTTCTGTAGCCATGCATGATTTCTGTGGACATTACTGCTTGCTCAGTGCATTATTCCTAGGCTATAAAGTTTTTCTCTATGCATTACACCTGCATGCCACCTGCATGGGACCCTGCTTGGCATCACTGCCCTCTCATTGACCTAGGACTGGTCTGGGGAAACCCCCTTTTACATCTCTACCCTGCACACCCTCTCGGTCAAGATTGTATCTGCATGTGTACCAATAAAGGCTTTACGCTCCTGCCTGCATATATCACTGGGCCGGTGCTACCCGTGCCCATATACTGGCCTGCTTTGTCTGTGCCCCATGATTGGCCTGCTTTGTCTGTGCCCCTGTGATTGGCCTGCTTTGTCTGTGCCCCATGATTTGGCCTGCGCTGTCTGTGCCATACTACGCATGCTCCTGGGCTGGCGGTTCTATACCCTGGATCCCTGTTTAAGCCTGCATGCGCGTACTTCTTGCCTATGCCATTATTAGGGGTGCTGCCCCTATTGCCTGCTAGTGATACCTGTCCTCTATTCCCTTTAGGTATCACGTTGCATCACCTCCTGCACTATGGAAGCCTCTGCACAGGAGCAGAATGCGCAGGCTATGATTAATGCGGCTGTGGCCGCCTCTGTGGAGAAGGCCCTGGCTAGGGTCCTCCCTCAACCACAACCGGAACGGGGTGCTAGAGGGAACCCCTGTTTGGCAGACAAATCGGCGGAGTCGGACTCTCAGGAGCAAGGGCAGGCAAGTGCTCTAACGCGCTATTGGAAGGGTGAAGGCCCTGAACCATGCTCCCAGAAGGGTAAGGCCCCGGCGATGCATCAAGGTTCGAGGTTATCAACCTCTCCGGCCAGGCGCCGCTGTTTATCAGGCGCAGGGGAGGAGGCCTCCTTACCCCCCCAACTATGGCCATACTAGATGAGTGGCGGGCAGACCAGTCCCCCTCGGAGGAGGAGGATGATTGGAACGAGGACCGTGGGGATGGGCCCAAGTGGCATTGGGAGGATGAAGACGCGCTAGCGACAGAGGACCCCACGGCGGCGTTGGGGGATGATATCTTCCTGGATGCTACAGGAGCGCCTCTGTTTGACCCTCGATCCATCCGGCACCCCAGATCCTCAGACTGGTCACTGCCTGACCACTTGGCACAATTCGTGCACTACTGGGTACGCAGACCTCTTGAAGGGGAGGTCCGCAAGAAGCTGCAGGCAGAATGCCCCAGACCTGTCCTGCCGGACAAGGTGGCCACAACACCGGAATTTGACCCCCTGGTGACCACATACATGACCCGTACGGGTCGGGACACCAAGAAAGGGGTGGAGCGCAGCTTCCGCTCAGCGCAAGATAAACAGCTGGATATGCTGGGCCCCCTGTGCAGGATGTTGGCACTGGCAGACGAGGCCTACTCGGAAGGTACGGCCCTGGACCCAGCCGCCATGCGAGACTGGGCTTTATGATCCATTTGCCTGCTGGGCAATGCTAATGCAGCCCTCTCCACGGAACGCAGGAAGGCAGTCCTGTTCTGTATGGACAGCAAACTGTCGGAGCTGGGGTCAAAAGAACTGGGCCCCCTGGCTAAGGGCCCGCTATTTGGGGAGCCTTTCATCAAGGAACTGCACAAACATGTTAATCTGTTCACCTCCCTGGACAAGGCCAAGTCCTCCATGAAGAGGGTCTTCCAGCAACAGACATCCTGGGTTTTTGGAAAGGCTGGACGACAGCGGGGTCGTGCCTCCAGCCGCAGCTGGTCTTCGGGCTGCCATAGATCCCATGGACCATCCTTCTTCCCATCATACCAGTCCAGACCTTTCTACACTCAGAGGTCGGATAGAGGTCGAGGGAATCGTGCAAGAGGACGTGCAAGATTTTCAGCAGGTGAGAACTACTCCTGCCATTTCTCCCTTTCCCCTACTGCATGCGGGCAGACTGTTTCACTGCAGGGACAGGTGGCGGGAGGTGTCTTCAGATGCATGGGTCCTTCGGACCGTTTGGGCATATGTCATAGACTTTCACTCCCCTCCGGTACAGGTCAGACCCCCAAAGGTTCCTGTCATCTCAAGGGAACAACAGGTCCTGATAGATGCGGAAATCCAGACTCTGTTCGACAGGGGCACGGTCTAATGGGCCCCAGACACAAAGGGTTTCTTCAGCTCGATCTTTCTTGTGAGAAAAAAGTCCGGAGAATTCCGTCCAGTAATCAACTTGCGGGAACTGAATGCCTTCGTGGTCTACCACCACTTCAAGATGGAGGGCATCCATCTTCTGCGGGACCTTCTCCGGCCAGGAGACCAGACTGGACCTGAAGGACGCTTACTTCTCCGTCCCGGTGGACGACGAATGTCGCAGATTCCTCCATTTCCTTTGGAAGGGCAGCTCATGCCAATTCACTTGTCTTCCCTTTGGCCTCAGCTCGGCTCCGTGGTGCTTCACCAAGCTCCTGAAGCCGGTGGTTGCTCGACGCAGGGCAGAGGGCGTCCGTTGTATAATATACTTAGACGACTTGTTGATCTTCTGCGAGGACCCGTCCAGACTCAAGTGTCAGACACAATCTGCGGTCTCCTTATTTGAACGCCTGGGGTCCGTAGTCAATCTGGAGAAGTCAGCTCTTGACCCTTCCCAGACAGTGGAGTTCTTGGGTTTCGAGGTGGATGCGAAAGACTGCATTCTACGTCTGCCTCTGACCAAGATAACAATCTTTTGGAAGGAGATAAGGAGGATCCATGGCAAGACCGGATCCCCCTTCGAATGTTAGCTCGCATGGTGGGCCTCTTCTCGGCCTCTATACAGGCTATCTACCCAGGCCGCTCCACTACAGGGCCATGCAATGGCTGAAGGCTCGTTTTTTTACGCAAGAGGCCCTCTTACGATCAGTTGATTCCCCTGTCCCCGAACTGCGCTTGTGGCTCCTGCACATGTCAGCCTGGATATTCGGACCAACACCGGACTTCGTGCTGGAATCGGATGCGAGTCTGTGGGCCTGGGGTGCCACCTGCGCAGCCGGATCCACAGGTGGCCTGTGGTCGAACACGGAATCGGAGTTCCACATCAATTGCCTGGAATTGATTGCGGGTTCGTTTGCGATTCGGAGCCTGGCAAACCATCTCTCAGACTGCTGCATCCTCCTTCGGATGGACAATGTCTCAGCGTGTAGAATATTGCATATTCTGTATGTTCCTATTCAAATACATATTAAGGTGTGGCTGTCTAATGGGTTAAACAGAACAGATGGTGTTTGCTACTCTGTAATATGAGGTCTCTGGAATTTGCTGTATAAGAGATTTGAGGCGGTCTTTATATAGGGAACTTCCTTATATGGCAGGGTCTAAACTAAACATTATGACGTAATTTGGGGTATATAGAGTCAAGGACAAAGGATTACGGGCTCTTCCTGCTACGATCCGTTTGCTCTCCTCTCTGATGTCAAGACGACTCTCTGTAACATCGTTAAGAATTACCATCTGTTAAGTATATATAACTGTTTCCTGTTGAATGTAGAATAAATACTCATTTTTTATAAAGAACGTCAGATTGCGTATTACTAATTTTCAATAATATAGACATATATTATTGTGGCGAGCATTTGGCCCAAGAATATATATACAAAAGACGTATATATATCAATCAGCTGAAGACAAGAAGAAATTAAGAAGATTCCACATGAACATCCATTCATCTACATTTTTTACACAGCGGTACAGTACATCAACCGCTTAGGGGGCACTTGGTCTCGAACACTGTCGGACGTGACGAAGGAGATTTACAGCTTCTGTTTCCAACGCAACATCACCCTACAAGTGGAATATCTTCCAGGGGAATCGAATCTGACGGCAGACTGATTCTCCAGACATTGAAGGGATGCCAGCGATTGGAAGCTCCTTCGGCCCATCTTCCTCGAACTCGCGAATCAGAGGGGCCCATTCACGGTGGATCTATTCGCCTCCAGGACGGACTACCAGATCCAGACTTACTTCAGCTGGCTCCCGGACCCAGCGTGCTTGGCGGTGGACGCCTTTCTCCAGGTGTGGCCTTCGCAGGGAGCGTATGCTTTTCCTCCGTTCGCTATGATTCCCAGGGTGTTGCTACAAGTTCAACGTTAACGTGTTTCCTTGGTGTTGCTGACTCCACTATGGCAGAGTCAAACCTGGTTTCCGGAGCTCTTGGATCTCTCCCATCGGGATCCTCTGCTCTTACCGTCCCCTTGAATGCTCCTCTCGGACTCCCGGGGCAACCCACACCCCCTAGTGAGGGACGGCCACCTGCACTTGGTGGCCTGGACTCTTTCAGAGGTACCTGGAATGTTGAGGCATTATCGCAATCGGCTAAATACCTTCTCTGGGATTCCTGGGCTCCCGGGACGAGGAGATGCTATCTCTCAGCATGGGGTTCCTGGTGTCGTTGGTGCCTGGAACAGGATACGATCCCTTTACAGGCCCTGTAACTAGTGTGCTGAACTTTTTGTCTCACCTCTTCGACTTGGGATGATCGTATTGCTCGGTTAACGTGGCTAGGTCAGCTATCTCAGCGGCGCATGTCCCGCTTAGAGGTTTTCCCATTGGCCAGTATCCGCTAGTCTGCAGACTTCTTCGTGGGTTGAGGCTGGCACGTCCACCGGTGCCTAAGTACTCCTCCCTCTGGGACATTCGTTCGGTTTTAGCATTCCTTCGGGATTGGCCGGATAACCAGCTTTCGGCCAAATTTGCCCTCTTATTGTGTCTGGTCTCACTCAGACGTGTTTCTGAAGTCCGGGCTTTTGCGTTCTCTCCAGAGGGGGTCACCTTCAAGGTGGTTAGACGTACCAAGTCAGATTCGACGGCTGAGTTGTACCCTTACTTCAGGGATTCGCCTAAACTATGTGTGGTGAAGGCACTAGCTCGTTATGTAGTGGTTACCGCTCCACTACGCTCTTCTCATCCTGGCCAGTTGTTGATCTCGTATGTCAGACCCCACAAACAGGTCTCGCCCCCTACCCTGGCTCGATGGATAAGATGGTTATTGACACTGGCGGGGGTGAATGCGACCTTCGGAGTTCATTCAGTTAGAGGCGCCACAGCTTCTGGAGCTTTCATCGCAGGCGCTTCCCTTCAGGACATTTTGCATTCGGTGGACTGGTCCCGTGAAGATACTTTTCGACAATTCTACTTTAGACCGTCAGACCATGCTTCTCTTGCTTTGCTGTCGGAGCGTTAAAACAGCAAATATGAAGCCTCCTGTTATGTTATAAAATTGCAGATTATACTAGCTTTAGTGTAACTATAATCTTAATTTTATTAATGACAGGAGGCAAATATTTCCTGCCCGGTTTTTTCTTTCCCCCCCTTGTTTGGATTGATTGTTTTGACTGATTTTCTGTTTATTTGCCTGGTCTCCTAGGCTAGATTTGGTAATCTGGGGTGATATCTAGGGAAGTTGGGGGAGGTATCTGGTATATTGTATTGCCGGTTTGATGATGGGATTCATGTTATTGTACTATCAGTACTGGATGATGGGATTCATGTTTTCTCAGTACATTTCGTTCACTAATCAGTGTTTTCGACTTTGTTTATTTCGTTTCAGTTTAATAGTTCGACTACAGTTCATAGAACCGACTGTCTTGCAGGATGAAGATCAAGATCCCATCCATTCTTCTAAGTTTTCTTCCAGATGGCATTCATCGTTATGTTATGTTTGTTCTTCCTTTAATTTGTTTATGGCATTGTTATGTACCTTATTTTGTATTGTCTACAATTTAAGAATAGCTGGGGTTCCCCTTTCAACGGGAGGTTTTGACAGAAGAAATATATATTAAAAATTAACTTTTATTGCTGATTACGTAAAATAATCTACTGTCTCTCACACAATACTCTAAACTGGCTCTTTCATATAGCCCTACAGTCCTATGTGGCTATGTGGTAGAAACCGTTTAAAATATTGTGTGAGACAGATTATACTGAAGGGATTGCATAGTATTGGTCGAATAGTTTGCTGGATGCCAGCTATTACACCTTGGGCTTCTGTTTATTTTACCTCTTGTTTCCTGTCTATTTCCCCCTATCTGTCTACATTCTGTTGCTTTCATTTTGTTTTCAAGACACATTTCTCTCTGTCCAACAGTGTATACTGTACATGCAGCTTTCTGTACTTCAGGAAGGACCTTTTCAGTTGCAGGCTATTTATTATCGGCTCTGTTCATCCATCTTACCTAGTTGCAAACAATTCACTATCACTTGCGTTTAAGTACCTCTACCTGTCTTTCTATTCTCCTGTCACAGTAGCTGTTATTTTTACAGAGTTCACAATTCTTCTAATCTGTAATAAAATTATTATTGTATCCCAGGGAAAGACACATGTGATTACATTTTGTAACTGGGAGAAATAGAAACATGTGTGTAGCAATTAACTAATAATACATAGTATTCAGCGGATTTGGATTACGACCTACTGGCTATATCTCTGTATGTACAGTATATACCTGGTATATTTTCCTTTTTTGTTTTTGGTAGATTATATATATTAAATAGTGATGTCCCGAACGGTTCGCAGAACGGTTCGCCGAACGGTTCGCCACGGACTCATCATTGAGTAAACTTTGACCCTGTACCTCACAGTCAGCAGACACATTCCAGCCAATCAGCAGCAGACCCTCCTTCCCAGACCCTGCCACCTCCTGGACAGCTCACTAAGAATGCAGCTTCAAAATGGATGCTGTCCAGGAGTTGGGAGGGTCTGGGAGGGAGGGTTTGCTGCTGATTGGCTGGAATGTGTCTGCTGACTGTGAGGTACAGGGTCAAAGTTTACTCAATGATGAGTCCGTGGCGAACCGCTCGTGGCGAACCGTTCGCGAACAGTTTGGCGAACCGTTTGGGACATCACTAATATTAAACAATCAGTAATAAAAGTTACATTTTTTCTGCCAATATCTCCTATTTATAATAGTATGCAAATATACAAATTCCTGATCTTTTTGGTTGCTGGGGATCAAACCACTCCGATCACACAAAGACCTACTGTAGCTAAAACTGCTGAAAAACCATGCGGGCCATGACAGAAAGGTGTTCGAAAGCACAGTGCATCACAGTTTGCTGAATATGGGGCTGTGTAGCCCATGATGACCCTGTTCACCACCAAAAGTGCCTTCATGGGGGACATGAGCATCAGAACTGGACCATGGAGGTTGCCTGGTCTGATGAATTATGTTGTTGTTTTTTGTTTTTTTTTAGATCAGGTGGATGTGCAGTGGCGTGTGCGTTGTGTACTTGAGGAAAAAATGGCAGCAGGATACATTATGGGAAGAAGGAAGGTTGTTGGAGGCAGTGTTCTGCTCTGTTCTGCTGGAAAACCTTGGGTTGTGGCATTCATGTGGATGTTACTTTAACACGTATCACCTACCTAAAGATTGTACCACATACACACCCCTTCATGGCAATGGTGTTCCCTGGTGGCAGTAGCCGCTTTCAGCAGGATAATACACCCAGTCACATTGCAGAAGATTGTTCAGGAATGCTTTGAGGAATATTTCAATGAGTTTAAAGTGTTGTCTTGGTGTCCAAATTCCTCAGCTCAGTCCGATTGAGCATCTGTGGGATGTGCTGGAACAACAAATCAGATCCATGAAGGACCCAACTTATTATTATTGCCATTTATATAGCGCCAACAGATTCCGTAGCGCTTTACAATATTATGAGAGGTGGGATGTAACTATAAATAGGACAATTACAAGAAAACTTACAGGAACAATAGGTTGAAGAGGACCCTGCTCAAACGAGCTTACAGTCTATAGGAGATGGGGTATAAGACACGTTAGGACAGGAAATATCAATCAAATAGGGTGGGAGTGAAGCAGAGCTGGAGGAGAGAGTAAAGCACTGCCCTTTAGGAGAAAGCAAGAGACAGGTATGTAAGGTAGAGGTTACTCTGGGAGGCCATAAGCTTTCCTGAAGAGATGGGTTTTAAGGCTCTTCTTAAATGATTGAAGACTAGGGGAGAGTCTGCAGTAAGCAGGCTATTCCATAGGAAAGGAGCCACCCGCGAGGGGTCCTGCAAGCGCGAGTTGGGTTATGAGGTGGTCACGGGCAGAGCGGAGGGAACGAGGAGGGGCATACCTATGGATCATTGAGGAGATATAAGAGGAGCTAGAATTGTTCAGTGCTTTAAATGTATGGGTTAGCACTTTGAATTGACTCCTATAGGATACAGGGAGCCAATGTATGGACTTAAAGTATCGTGAAGGGGACCTACACGATAAAAGGAAGGTGGTTTTAATGTTGTTGCTGATCAGTGTATACAACCAATGAAAAAAAATGCATAATGAAATTCATGCATGTTTAAATTGGTGGTATATCTACTAAACAGTGATTTGTAATATATTATTTGTAGTGGAGTGCCCCTCTGAGGGGAATTTATGTGATGAAGATGACTATTGCTCAATATTTGAACAAGTCTTGGTGTTGATTTATTTTACAAGTTCGTTAGAAGGCCCTGAAAATACAGTTGCACATTGCATAAACATATCTGAATAT